AAAGAGTGTTCAGTGGTAATGCATGCTGAAATTTAGTTTGATGAACCAATCTTTGAAGAGGTTTATAGTTGAATATCCAACTTCTGACCTTCCATTTTCAATTGGGTGTGGGGATGGACAATTTGTTTTTACAAAACAAAAATAGCCAGAATAAAACCCTAGCATCAGACAAAGTCAAAGATTCAGCACTAAAAAAGAATCTTTGTCTCCAGAGAGGAGATACACATTTATGAATGTATGGACCATTTAAAGGATGTGCGTGGGATCTTCCAGAGACAAAAGATCAGGAAGGCACCAGGCCCAGACAGTGTGACTGCCTCCTGTCTGAAAGTCTGTGGTGCCCAGCTAGTCCCCGTCTTTATAAAAATATTCAACAGAACACTGGAGCTGTGTGAAGTCATCTCCTGCTTCAAATGCTCCACCATTATACTATTTCCCAAGAAACCCTCCATCAGTGGACTGAATAACTACAGACCTTTCGCCCTGACATCTGTGGTTATGAAGACCTTTGAGACACTGGTGCTCGCTCACTTGAAGGACATCAAAAGGCCAACTGCTGGACCCCCTGCAGTTTGCCTACTGGTCAATGGATGCAGGCAACATGGCACTACATTACATCTTGCAACACTTGGACTCCCCAGGGAGCTAAGAACAGGTCCTTTTTGTGGGTTTCAACTCAGCATTCAACACCATCATCCCAGACAAACTCCACCGCCATCTCACCCAGCTCACTGTGCCCGCCCACACTTGTCAGTGGATCAACAGCTTCCCAACAAACAGGAGGCAGCACGTGAGGCACATCCTGTACCTGGTCAGTCAGCACAGGCATGCCCCAGGGAAGTGTGCTCTCCCACAGCTCTTTTTACTCTACACCAACGAGTGCACCTCAAGTAAACTCCTCAAGTTTGCAGATGACACAATGGTCATCGGTCTCATCTGAAGAAGTGTTGAGTCTGCATACCGGCGGGAGGCTGAACAGCTGGCCCTGTGTTGGTCACAACAACCTGAAGCTAAACATGCTCAAAGCAGTGGAGATGACAGTGGACTTTAGGTGGGTCAGTGGGTCAAGAGGGCGGAAAAGATCTCTGCAGACGCCTCACATGCTGGACACAAAGTGTTTGAACTTCTCCCCTCTGGATGGCGCTACAGGTCACTGTACACCAAAATAACCAGACACAGGGACAGTTTCTTCCCCGTGCCATCACCATGACAAACACCATGTTTATCCATGTTAATCCATGTTTGCTGTATCATGTCATACAGACAAACACCCTTAGTACAAATAACTCCCCATTACAATAAAATGCAAATTTAACCATTGCTTTGTTCATACTCATCTAAAAGCTCCTCTCCCACATTGTTTATATGTATATACAATATAAAATTATAAACAGATTGTTTTTTCTCTTCTTTTTCACCATTTATTTCCTATTTAGTAAATCTACATATTTTTGTCGTCTCATGGAAGCAGATTGAAAGCTACTGTAGTTGGTCATTAAAGCTGATTATAATTGATTATCGCCTTCCCTTTCTTAAACCGTTTCTACCCTGAATAAGGGCTTTTTTGGGGTTTAGAGCTTGTATTGTAGGTATCAAAACAAAGAATGAACTGGGAGTCCAAAATGACTGCAGAAGGCATAATTACTGTCCTGTTAAAGAGAACTGTGTTAAGATATGTGGTGACAAAAGCCAGCCATTAGCGTACAGTTTACTATAAGTCAAGTAAAATGTAGATTACTGTATAAAGATAATTTTGCCATGATCGAACATGTTATCTACCTCTACCCAAAATCACAACAAGCTTGTCGTATAAGCAGCAGCCTCAGCCTGGTTCTAATTGTTTCCATCATTGATCTCTGAGCTCTATCAGGGCACTGATACACCAACCTCTCGTGCTCATTCCTAACTAAAGCCCTTATCACAATCCGGTATATTTCTCCAGGCAGTGAAAACATGCCATAAGTGCTTCAGTATCTCAGCACCAAGAAGAATGGGATCAAAATAACCCATTCAGATTGGGGGGGGGGGCACATTTCACTATTATTCTTAGGATTTAGTTTCATTTATTAGACAAAATACATTCCTCCACTGGCTGTCTGGACTCTCCCGGAATCTGACGGAGCAGATAAGGATGTCAGTTTACAGAGTGAAGATTGTTAAAACACCCTCACGTTTCAAGATGTTCAGTGCCATACACTAATCCAGGAATGTGTGTTTATTTTGCAGGAACTTGATGTCTGGGCGAGGACAAATATAGCCTAATCTAATAATTAACATGACGCTGACAAAAAAAAAGGAAAGGCAGCATTGTGGTCAAGGAGTCTATCAAATTTAAGGGTTCATGAGATCAATCTTTACAAAATACAGTACACTATAATATACACAAAGATTACCATGTCTGAGTCAAGAGTCTTTTTGCAAACACAAACATCAGAATTAATGTAAGCTACAGTATCTTAGGCAAAAGTATAACTTTTTCTTTTTAGCACCATAATACCAACGTGTTTTTTTTTTTTTGTTTTTTTTTTACATAATTCATCCTTTACAGATTCACATAAATATTCAAGTGTTTTTAATACTTATGCTGAGCACAACCTTACTGATAGTTACAGTAGTGAATAAGAATTCAGCAGCAATGTCAGACCTGAATATACCTTGTTTTCAAAAACTGGAACGCTCACAGGACAGTACATTCAGGTATTATAAAAATGTTAGTAACATAAAACGGCTGCAAATAAAACTTTATGGCAGGTTGCATTTACTTTATTTTGCACAACGTCCTGCTGTGCCTTTTAATCTGCTTGAACCTCCCTTAAAAATGAAGGCGGTCAGACAGTGTAGTGAGAAGCTGAGACTGTGAGAACAAAGTTTAATTCTGACACAAACCATGCAAACATGATTTCAATGTGTTTTTGTCTGTTTATAACCACAAAATGAGTGCAGTGAAATAAAACAAATGTGTATAGTGACTATTCCACTGGATGAGTTCCTTTCTATTAAGCCTGGTAAATATCTGATTGTGATTTTACACTAAACGTCTGTGGTATAAGTGCTGTCTTTACAGCCTATGTCGTCCTACAGACCCAGACACTGCAAACATTAGATTATGTAAAAAGAAAAGTTTGTAGTTATCACTAACAGCCTTGCCAGTTCCTAAATAACAGTAAACAAAGACAATTACAAAAACATTAAGTCCCATAAAAAAGTCTAAATCTGCAATGACAACTCATATTCTATCCACTAAGCCAGTATGATGACAAAGAGCAGCCCAAGGAGTATTAAAGTTTCAAGACTAAATGAAAATGATCTGCTGGTCTGTAGTCTTGTTATATATAGCTGAGAGATTTCACCAACCAGCCTATTCACAGGCAACAACTGGGCTATTTTGGTTATTTTTTCCTTTTGATGTGGCAGTTTGCCTCAAATACTTCCTTCTCTGATGCTTTTGAACCATCAAGGAAACATGTGCCCAGTTGTACAAACACAGGATATGTTTGTATACCACAATTATGGTCTGATTCACACAACAAGCAAATGATAAAGTAATTAGGAATGGATGTATGACTACAATGTTGAACATTCCACCAAAGTGCATCTTACACTGTTTGTAAGCTCACACGTATTTCTTGTAAACAACTCCATTTCAAATTTAACAGGGTTCTGTTCAAGAAATGATTTCCTAGGACATTTTCATAAGGCTGGCATGTAGTTAACAAGTTCTTCTGTGTGGAAGACTCCTTTAAAACACACTACTGTGCTAACATTTTAGACACTTTAGATGTTTATATTCATACCCCTGGCACAATCAAGGAGGCTTTGATTGGTCACAATTTCATTCTGCAATATACCAACGAGCCAGAGTTGAAAAGAATCATCTTATGAGCCAAGAGCAACAAGGAGTCCTACAACAGATGGTACAGGCCCCGCAGAGCCCTGATTTCATGCAGTCAGTCTGGCATTACATGAAGAGACACTGAGAAAGCTTAAATCCACAGAAGAACTGAGGCAACTCCAAGATGCTTGGAACAACCTACCTGCTGCCAAGTACCATGAAAAACTGTAAAAACATGGTACAGAGGTGAAGTGCTGTTGTTTAGAGACAAAGGGATGTCACAGCAAATATTGATCTGATTAAGGGCATTTTCTGTTTACAGCAATTTGCATGAAGTTAACTGATAAAAAAAAAAACTATTCATGGCATTTTTAAAAGCATCCTCACTTTACTTTTAGTGACAAACTTTTGCACAGTACTGTGTTAATCTATGGCTCTGTTATTAGAGGAGGACAACAGAGGACAATTACAAGGCTAACTTGAATCCATATTCTTTTTAATCACATCTATTAATGCAACAACTACAGTATAGTGACATGCAAATGCAGCTTCCCTTTCAGCAGTTAAGGGAAGCCTAAATGAGAATGTTAACAGCAATATATCATAGCAATACATTCTCATAAAAAGGTGTTAAAGACACTGTAGTTGAAGCCTTAACCCTGTGTAAAAAGGAATTTCAGATATGTGGAACATTTCACTGCAAAAACAAAACAAAAAAGTGACTTCTCAGCATTTCTCCATCCAGACAAAAATAAGACCTGATGTTTTTTAAAACCAGCCTACACTTGTCAAACCAGGTCTTGATTAACAAGAAGATGCCAGTGACTGTTTAAAACAAAGTTTCAGGTTTGTGAAAAGGTGCAATTCACCCTGTCCAGGCCACACTGGGCAAAAATCGAAAGGTGGGTTTGAAGCAGCAGTAAAGCGTTAACTAGTCTAACACACATTCACAATAATTAGTGGATGAAAAGTGTAACTTACCTCTAACTGCTGAGGCAATCTTCTGCATCATCAGAAAAACCTAACAGCAGTTTATCCCCAATGCTCTGGTGAGATACAGATACCCACAACAACAGAGCAACAGCTACACTGAGAATCCTCTTCATTTTGATGCAATATAAATTCAGAGTTTAAGCCACAAGAAATATTATCAAGACTGCACCTTACTTAAAATTAGGAACAGATGACACATGCAAACACACAGTCACACAAACTCCCATTTATGAAGCTCCAGCTAAAACACAGTCACACGGTTCAAATCACAAACCTGTCACATCTGCAAGCAAAACAAGCTAGCAAGCACATCATTCTGGTGTGTTTGCTAGCTAGCCAACTTATCAATATGCTGTCATTAACAGGACTAACCTTCATTGTGAAAACAATAATCCTGCAGGTAGCAAAACAGCAAGTTGTAAATGTGTTTAAAAGTAAACCTCATTATCAGCCAAAACATGTTTTTGCATTTAAAGGATCAGTTAACGTTCTTGATTGTCAGGCTACATTTCAATTATCTGGGCTTTTTATTTTCAGCGTGCACAAGCCGTCTTCCCAAACCTCTGGTGGTTTGGGGTGCATTCAAAAGCCGCACAACTTGTGGGCCTTCGGAGTGTTTCAACCCTCTCACCCTGCCATTCCAACCTCATCTGGTCCCTGAGCATACAGCAGCCCAGTTTCAGCTGCCACCTGTGGTTTGAGCAGCGCAAAAGAAAAAGCCAAAAATGTCAAAACATACTGTTTTCCAGGACATTTGACTATTTCTCTCATTTTCCATGATTTTTCCAGGACTGGAAACTGGTCTAAATATTTCCAGGTCTTCCTGGACACGACCCCCGTCCTGTTGCTGATCGGATTGGAATGTGATCACTGACTGCCTTCCACATGTGAAAAGATGTGAAGTCACAATGGGCAGAGTGACAGGGGTCATTTAAGACCTCTAACAAAGGCGAACACAGTGAAACAATTAGCTCGGTATTCTGTGGGCTTTTGGCAAGGAGAGACATTAGCAAAAGCATCTTAAGTATAAAAATTATCCCTTCCAACCAAATCTGTTGTAATCAATAATCCAATGGGGCTCTGAACGTTTGTACTGTGACCACTATCTGTAATCAAACACAATCTCGTGTGCGTGAGTAAATCAAATGAAAATCGTTGGAGGGGAGCACAGGTCCACCCTCTATTTAATAATAACACCCCTGATTCAGCTTGCAATTTATCATGCTGGATCCAAGCAGGCTTTTTTTTTTAGTAATACTCAAATTCGGAAAGAGATCACACTCATAATTCCTAAATGGTAATAAAGTGCCAAGCATGGCAAAAAAAAAAAAAAAAAAAAGAGAGAACAATCATATGACCCCAAAGAGATATCCCTGATGGATATAGTTAGATGAAACTGCGACCCCAAACAAGCTCAAGCTCAACAAAAGGAAATAAAAATAATCCAGCTGCCCAAGAAAGACATCGGAAGATGCTGGTCAGGGATTAACCCTTATACAGTGCCTTGCGAAAGTATTCGGCCCCCTTGAACTTTGCGACCTTTTGCCACATTTCAGGCTTCAAACATAAAGATATAAAACTGTAATTTTTTGCGAAGAATCAACAACAAGTGGGACACAATCATGAAGTGGAACGAAATTTATTGGATATGTCAAACTTTTTTAACAAATAAAAAACTGAAAAATTGGGCGTGCAAAATTATTCAAATCCACATAAGGGATGACGGCAACATTCATAGATCCTGGAATGCACAATGAGGGGCAATGTTCATTCCTATTACAGAGGCCCACTGAAATTTTTTTGAGGAAAAGCTGTGTTAGACTGCATATTGTTTATAGTAAAGTATTTTTATATACAAATATAAAAATGAAAATGTTTCTGGAGTGGGACTTTAATTAATTATAGAAGTTGTGCAGAAGCTGCCCATAGCTCTACACAGTGATCCATGTGTGTACTGTATGTGTTTCTATGCTGCTCCAAATGAGTCTGTTCTGGTTCAACTTGTCTTATTAAATGAGCTTAAAAATAAAGTGACACCTTAGTTATAAAACACTGAGCAGGCTGTAACACACAAGAGTGTGTACAAGCCACCTGGGAGACACACCAAACATGTGGAAGAAGGTGCTCTGGTCAGATGAAACCAAAATCGAACTTTTTGGCAACAATGCAAAACGTTATGTTTGGCGTAAAAGCAACACAGCTCATCACCTTGAACACACCATCCCCACTGTCAAACATGGTGGTGGCAGCATCATGGTTTGGGCCTGCTTTTCTTCAGCAGGGACAGGGAAGATGGTTAAAATTGATGGGAAGATGGATGGAGCCAAATACAGGACCATTTTGGAAGGAAACCTGATGGAGTCTGCAGAAGACCTGAGACTGGGATGGAGATTTGTCTTCCAACAAGCCAATGATCCAAAACATAAAGCAAAATCTACAATGGAATGGTTCACAAATAAACATATCCAGGTGTTAGAATGGCCAAGTCGAAGTCCAGACCTGAATCCAATCGAGAATCTGTGGAAAGAACTGAAAACTGCTGTTCACAAACGCTCTCCATCCAACCTCACTGAGCTCGAGCTGTTTTGCAAGGAGGAATGGGCAAAAATTTCAGTCTCTCGATGTGCAAAACTGATAAAGACATACCCCAAGCGACTTACAGCTGTAATCGCAGCAAAAGGTGGCGCTACAAAGTATTAACTTAAGGGGGCTGAATAATTTTGCACGCCCAATTTGTCAGTTTTTTATTTGTTAAAAAAGTTTGAAATATCCAATAAATTTCGTTCCACTTCATGATTGTGTCCCACTTGTTGTTGATTCTTCACAAAAAATTACAGTTTTATATCTTTTATGTTTGAAGCCTGAAATGTGGCAAAAGGTCGCAAAGTTCAAGGGGGCCGAATACTTTCGCAAGGCACTGTAAGCATCAGGACCAGACTGTTTAAGAAGACGACTTCCTAAGGTGTGTTCAGCACAGCTTAAGAGTATTATAACGACAGTGTTTCAGATTCTTTTAAATAAATGTACTGTTCCAAATATATGGAAAGTTACAACTATTATTTCGTTCCCTAAGAGGCCTGGGGCTAAAGAGCTTAACGACTTTCATCAGGGTGCCCTGACCTCTGTACTGGCGAAATGTATGGACAGGGCGGTTAGTAAACATCTAACCTCAGCTCTAGCAGATCTGCTGGACCCTCTACAATTTGCATATAAGCAGCACAGTGGGACAAAGGATGCAGCATTAACTTTGGTGAATATGGTTGGAAGTCACTTACAGCAAACAAAGGCCTACGCATAGATCTTATTTCTTGATCCGAGTTCAGCCTTCAACACAATGAGGACATATATCATACATCAATCAGAGATGATTCCTTTTTAGGAAATTAAAAGGCTTTGGAGTAGGTCAGAAGGTTTTGGAAAG